TTCGATTGGGTTCAACCCGAAGAGTTCAGTTAAGATTAATCTGTAATATCAATTGTACCTTGATACTACTGATCGGAAGCGGCCTCCACCTAGGCATTCCGATCACTTGATCTTACTGAAGAATTAACTCCGTAATAATTGTGAACCCTCTATCGGAATAATACACTTGTTGGAAGGACATCATTCCTTTCACATGCAAGATACACAAGCGATTGTCAGATGCTCTCTCTCTAGAAACGGTTGACTCTCTAAATTTTGGAAATGTCCGAAAAAAGAGGAGGGTAAAAAGCTATTGAAGGAAGGGTAATTTCAGGGGCACCCCCATAATTTCCCTAGAAGGTATACAGCTAAAACTATTCACCAATACCCAAGTGACAAGTGTCACAGGCGACACGTGGCACGCCACGTCACACCTGTGAGTAGGGGTGGCAATTCAGGTCAGCAGGTCGGGTTCGGGTCAGATTTCGGGTCGATTTCGGGTTATGCTTAGAAACTATTAAAAATAGTGTAAAATATTATCACGAAATATGAAATTTGGGTCAAATCAAGTCAAATCGGGTTGTTCAGGTTCGGTTCAGGTCGGGTTCGGGTCTCTCTCAGTAATTTCGGGTCGGGTTCGGGTCGGGTTTTTGTGTCGAGTCAGGGTTTGCCAGCCCTACCTGTGAGGGGCAAATGTTTTGGGTAAAAACATCCAAGGCCACGTGGCCCAATAAAATGGTGACACGTGTCAATCTATGAGAGGTTCAAAATGAACCAATCCTCAGCTGACACGTGGCATATCCAATCATTTGGAAAAAGACAGCCCCAAGGCCCAATTCCCGAGGAAAGGTCGTACAACGGCGCAGCCCGACATTCCTAGGTTTTTGTAACCTAGGATGGTGGCACGAATCCCAAGACTCGAGATGTTCCCCCAGGGAAACGGATACACACGTACACACATACATGCATGATTCACAAAAAACCAGAGCAGTCAATGATTGCAGATAATTAGTTCTCACCACCGAGAATATACCTGATCTCGGAATCCGAGAGGATCCCACCTTTTTTTCTGCACTTTTTACGTCTTCCGAACATGTTCTAACTTGATCGTCGAAGGCGGAACTCCACCCAACCGGAGTCTCCGTTGCTTTGTAGGTACAGGCGCCTGTAATCCAGTCTTGGTGTTGTAACTCTCCCGAGGGACACAGAAAATCCTGAAACAGAACTTATTAAACCTTCTAAGAACTTATTGGACGTTATTGAAACTTATTGGACCTTATTATTAGACCTTATTTTGTAAAGCTGATTAAAACTTATTAGAACCTATTAGACATTATTTAACTTATTGGAACTTATTAGATCTTATTGAACTCATTAAACCTTATTGAACTTATAAGACCTTATTGTAACTTATCTGAACTTATTAGACTTGAAACTTATTTTTATTTGGTAAAGCGAACAAGCCCTTATGGTACTTTATACTCACGTTAATATTTGCAACTTAGTCATCCTATTTGTTTCAAAACAAATAGGTCATATGCGCCAATATTTACATAGGGGAAGGGACCTAAACATATTTAGTATCTATTCTATTCACCTTATTTTCACTTATTTCAGGTGTAATAAGTTCAGTTAAGTTCAGACAAATTTAGTTAAAAAAAATAAGTTCTAATAAGGGTGACCTAAGATTACAACTAAAAATAAGTTTTGATAATGTCTAATAAGTTCAGATAAAATAAGATAAGTTCAAATAAGTGAAAATCAAGTGAATATAACACTCCTTTAATTACCCTTCATTTCATAACATGAAAATTGTTTTAAAAGGCCAAAAGATAAACATGGACATAAATATATCAATCAATCAAAATTCAATTTAAATTATAATCATCAATTAAATTATGAATTAAACCTACAATTTGAGAATTTAATAGTTGCAAATTAAGCATATACTACGATTAAAGTATACATGTATTAAAAATTGAAAGTTCAATCAACATTTAATAAATTACTTGGGGCTTCTCCTCAAAAAAAATAATTAAAAAAAGGATAATAAATTAAAATTTGTTTTTAAAGAAAAAATCTGACCCAAAGTTGAGTAGTAGAAATTTATACGAAAATTTTATACAAAAATTGCTAGGCTTTCCACTCGTGCGTATCAATCAAATAAGGCCCAATTCTTTTGAGCTTTTGGGCAGAGCAAAGCAGGGGTCAACAGATCAGATCAGATTTCGGCATTATTATTAATACTATTATTATTATTATTATTATTATTATTATTATTATTATTATTATTATTATTATTATTATTTCCGTTACTACTACTATTATTTTATTATTATTATTATTATTATTATTATTATTGTCGTTACTACCATTATTATTATTATTATTTTTATTATAATTATTATCATTCTTATTTTTATTATTAATATTATTATTATTATATTTTAAGAATTATTACTATTATTATCGCATTTAATAATAATAATAATAATAATAATAATAATAATTATTATTATTATTATTATTATTATTATTATTATTATTATTATTATTATTAACAAGTGCATACCATTGATTTAGGTGAATGAAAACATAAATAAGTGTACCATCTTTAACATATGTTAATAGTAAAAAGATAAAAGACAATAGTTTAACTAGGGGTGAAAGTTCGGTTTTCGGTTGGTTTATTGCCTAACCGAAACCGAACCACAATAATTTGGTTTTTGGAATTTGCAAACCATACCGCACCATATTAGTTTTGAAACCAAACCACTTAAATTTCGGTTTTCAAAATAAAAACCGAACCACACCGATTTTTCCCATCAAGGCATCATAAACATAAAATATTGCACATAAACTGAACCAAACCAAACATAAATCGAACCAAATCAAACCAAACCAAACCATATAAACATAATAAAAACAAGTTTTAGCTTCAAAGTTACAATAGCAACAGGCAGTTAGGAGAAGTAGAACACAGCAGCAACAGTTAGGACGCCGGTTACCGAGTGAGGGAGTGAGTTAGTGACAGTGGAGTAGGAGAGTGAGAGAGGGCGAGAGGCTGAGAAGAGGAATGATAGATTAGGGTTTTTTTTTTTTTTTTTTTTTTTTACTTAGGCTAAAGTCAGAGTTGGGTTAGGGTGTATTTGGGGTTTGGGCCGATATTTCAATTTGGTTTCGGTTTTTCAATTCTTCAAACCTAAACCAAACCGAATTCTTTTTTTTAAAAACCAAACCGAACCACATTAGAAAAAATCCACACCGTATTTCTAATTCGGTTCGGTTTGCGGTTTGGTTCGGTTTTAAACCGAATTATTTTCACCCCTAAGTTTAACATCTTCAATTTATTATAACCGCATATCAAAATAGGAACATAATTAGATAAGAGTTTAACATCGTGGTGTATCATCGTGGTGTATTAACCACGCTTTGATCTTCACTGTTATCACCTTCATTGTCGCTTTGATCTTCATTGTCATCACCTTCATTGTCGCTTTAATCTTCATTGATATTAATTCCGTTCAAAAAAGAAATTGTTATTATTATTATTAGTTATTAATTAATATTTTTATTAAATATTAATTCTTTATATTGTGAATTATTAATTATTATTATTATGAATATTAAATATTAATTATTATTAATATTAATATTAATAATTATTAATTATTAATTATTATTGTTGTTTTTGTAAACACATTAATTATTATCATCAATACAATATTAATTATTATTATAATTGTTATTATTAATTATTATTTGAAAACAGAGCAGATCAGATCTGATTTGAGCAGAGCAGAGCAGCTCAACTCTAAACAACAGGGCCTAAGCATCATTCAAGGAATATTACCACCAACGGCCAGTTCCCAACTTACATGACATACATTATACATGGAATTTACCAACAAATGGGCATTTCCCAAATTTACATGGCATACATTATATAAGAATGCAGGATGGGCTTGGAAAAAATTGTGCCAGCTGAAAGAAGGTTTTGCTAGTGAGGAGTGGATGAACAGCCCTTATCAGATTTCTAAAGTGTATAAATGGCTGCGTGGCACACATAGTGGGGTTGATTGGGCTTCCTGGGTGTGGAACAGTTTCAACATTCCAAAACACTCTTTCTTTTTGTGGTTGGTGATGCAGAATAGGTTGAAGACCAGAAGCAGACTATAGCTGCTTGGGGTGCCTGTCAGGGTAACAGCTGTTTCTTATGTGGTGATGCTGCTGAAGACAGAAGACACTTGTTTTTTGAATGTGATTATAGCAGGAAATGCCTTAAAAACATCAGTGAGTGGCTTAACTTACCAATAGGGGATTTCAACATTGATGCTATTTGGAAGAATTGGGAAGGAAGGTTGAAGAGCATGGTTAGAAGGAGGGTATGCCTTGCTGTTTTGGCTGCAGTTGTATACCAGATTTATCATTCACCCAAGAAACAAGGCCCTCTGGCTGCAGGTTATCATTCACCCAAGAGCAATCTGCAAAGCAATTCGTACTAAAATGGTGCAAAGATGTAAACAGTTGATAAGTGGTAAATGGTCTAGGCAAGATTGTAAATGGCTGTATAGTTTGCATAGTTCTACTGTATAGCTGCTATAGGTTGTATAGGGCTGTGTTTTTGTAAATGATTGTATTCTTGCTGTTTTCTTTTCCTATTGTTGGCTGTTGTCAGTGTTGTGTAACCTTCCTAGAAGGTGCCACATTATTGATAGCAGCATGCTCCCTGCTTTCTACGGGCACCCCTCCTAGAGGGTGGTCTTAAGGTGGCTAGGGATTGTAGGTGGTTGGGTGCCTACCTGTGTTAGGCTGGTGTAGTTTTGGAGTTGGTTACAACTCTTGCTCTAGGTTGTAACTTGTTTCATTTTGGTAATAAAAATTACTTACCCAAAAAAAAAAAAAAAAAAAAAAAAAAAAAAAAAAAAAAAGAAATCCTAAGATAAACCATGACTCATCAGGTTTTGGTTCGAGGATAACAGGTATTTTCTCTTGGTGATCGCCTCGTAAAACCTCCACAGTCACCTAAATGATGAAACAATAAGTCCCTGCTAGAATAGTATAGATGAGGATTCAATATACGATTAGAAGCATACCTTATCCCCTACTTTGCTGGTGTCAAGAATTCTGTACAAATCGCTACCATTAGTAACTTTCTTGCCATTCACTGATGTTATAATATCCCCTAGTATAAGTCGTCCGTAGGCAGCACGTTTTGTAGATAGAAGACCCTGTAGTTACGTATGAATAACCTTAGTCAAATTCCATCGATAATATACAACCGTCTTTCAGCAGCTCAAGTGGAATACTTGAAGCACAACGGTATTTATCAGAAATGTACCGCCTTGCCAGCAGGACCTTCTGGTGCTAGCACAAGCACTTCGCTAACTCTTAGTTGCTCCACTGATTGATCTGGGGCAAATTTTATCCCCAAGATAGGTCTTGTAACTTTCCCATATTTCACAAGCTGAGCTACGATGCCACCAACCTGAAAATTAATTAAATAACAAAATATGTCATCGTTTTCTATCTCCACCTAGAGAGAAAAAGTAAATATAAATAAAGGGAGAAAAGATAAATTGAGAGAATATATTAACACAGGTGATGAGATTTCAAGAAATGCCCCCCGCCCCCAATAAAAACCCTCCAGATCTTGACAAATGCAAAATTGATAACCTACAGCATCAACAGGAATTGAAAAACCAACACCAGAAGATGCACCAGAAGGAGAGTATATAGCAGAATTTATCCCAATGAGATTTCCAGAACTATCTAGGAGTGGACCTCCACTGTTAACAGGATTTAAAGCAGCGTCAGTCTGTATAACATCCTGAATCGGACGTCCTGTTGCAGCAGAGCTGATTTCCCTTTTGAGCCCACTACATTTAAAACATTGAAAGTGGTCACACAAGTAGCCTTTTTAGCTTCCTAAATGCTATCATTAAAGGGCATCAGAATACAGTAACTTACAGGTTTTAAGTGATAGCATATAAACCAGTATAATTTACAGTATAGCTGGGAATTACTCCACAAAAACATGGTAAAACATACAAGATTGCAGAATACTTAGAAGCCTATCACCAATTCAATGTATGGCAAGAAGTTTGAAACCAAACTATCTAGCAAAAAAAAAAGAGATGAGTACATGTCATCAAAATCCTCTCAACAAAATCATGAAAGAAATATTAACAACCAAAAAGGCAAGACCATCAATTTTTGGCTTTTTGCTGCATAATAGGTCATATAACTTACTGAGTTCCCCTGTATTATAAGAAGGAAAAACAAAACTTACTGGGTTCCCAATAGCAAAGACTTTTTGACCAACAAGCAAGTCTGCAGAGACACCAATAGGTATTGGTCTCAATTTATCTTTAGGTACATCAATGCGCAAAACAGCAACATCTTTGTCTTGGTCATACCCAACAACTTTGGCCTCGTAAGTAGATTGGTCAGCAAGAGTGACCCTGTAAATCACTAACAACATTTGAAGTCAAAATATTATACTCATCTCACAAGAAAAAGATATTCTAAGTATTGCACAGCAAGCTAAAATAATTAAAGTAGGGAATGAGGGAACCAATCGAAGGGATGTTGTCATACAACGTAGCCAATGAGAATGTGACATGTGACCCTTCACTCAACTTTGCTTTGGGGGGAGTGTCTGTGGGCTGAGGTATTGGGGGTTGCTTAACCCTCATTCACTCAACGTTGCTATATTAATAAAGATTTCAATATTCTCCAGTTCGATATATAAAAGGGTAACATGCAACGGACTGCGTGGCTTAAGCAACAATTCTAGGGAATAAATAGAGATCAAGACAGAGGATTGATTGATTGACTGATGATTGATAACGGTTAATACAAAATTAGTGACTTTAGGCCACAAGTCTCCAAAGCTCAAAGCTTACAACTTTTCTGAATGCCCCTTCTCTTTCTTAGGCTTCCCATATATATAGGACTATTCTAACTAGTGATGTGGCAACTAGCTTTAATTACTACAAGTACTACATTCCGTCTTTTACCCAAAAGCACAAACAACAATCTCAGAACATAATTAAGACACCAACGTTGTTGTTGTGGGTGGAGAGTGCTCCCCTGTCCCTGCTGCTGCTGCATTCCCCTCTGTCGCTGCTACTGCCTCCTCTCCCCTCTGTTGTATTTGTCTCTTTCTCCTGTGGTAGGTGTGTAGTAGTGGTGGTGTGGGTTGGCTCATTACATAACACCTACATATACATAGTACATCCAAAGAATATATACTCCCTCTCTCTCACAATAATTATGCAGGATCCGAAATTTGATATTTGTAAAAAAGAAATAGAAAATTCAGGATTGCTACTGGGATGGAGAGGTAGCACTCATAGCAGCATCAACTTTAGAAAATGAAATAGCACTTTCAAATGATAGAAGACAAGAATTCAAAAAAGGTAAGCAGGGCTGTGACATAATGTGAAACATCGCACAACAGAATTAAACAACAAACCTGAGATCAGAAGCACCATGAATTACATGATAATTGGTGACTATGTGACCTTCTGTATCCAAAATAAAGCCTGATCCAGACCCCTGAGGAACCTCTAACACATCCAATGTAAACGCATCCTGTCTATCTTTACAAGCCAATACAAAATTCATAACCATCAAATTTTTACAACCCAGAAAACTAAATCCAATGTAACCAATGCAACTGTTATATTAATAGGTGGAAATTAAACCAACAGATAAGGTTGATTAAATATTGCTTTTAAATGGTCAGTACAAATTTATTATTCAGATTGTGGGTTGTCCAAAGAAGTAATTAGAACAATAAATGTTCAGCAATTTCAATGATTGACTAATTCTATAAGTCTTCAACGGGCTCCTGACAGAATTTTGGATCAGTGTCTTTAATAAAAGCTTTCTTGGTTTTATGATGGGGAAACAACTTGCTATAGCTATCACTTCAGCTGTACAAAAAATCATTGTCACCAAGATAAGATAGTTTGAACCAATAAAGCAACAGTCAAACTTTTAATGAAAAACATATGTTTTAAAGAATTTTAATGTCTGATTAGTGGATGCAAGCAAACTTAAAAAAAACCCATACAAACCGAAGTAACAGCGCATATGTGACAGTATATTACGCTGTCAAAAATAAAAATCTAGCTTCAAGTTGTACATTTGGAGAAGTGTTGGCTTGTTACATACAATGGCAAGGTAATGCTCAAGTTTCAAAATGCCATGTTAATCCCAATTTAAGTTTGCAACTTAGACCCCTCTTCAAGTAAGCAAGGTACATGATAGCCACTCATGAAGACCAGTCATTTTAAGCAATACTATATCCACACTTGCACATCAATCCTTTTACTTGATCAAGCTTATATCTAGAATCCCATGTTGAGTAAGCTTTGATCATAATAACCCATGTTTTCTTACTCGGGTCTATGTTGATCTTCTCCATTTCAGTGAGTACATTTTCCATTTCCTCCAGGCGGTTTTGTGATCCGAACATTACCATTTTGCAGTGATAGAGGGACCTACAAATTCTCCATCCTGCAGACTCTGAACGCTTGACAAAGTTAGTAAGCTTGTCAACAGCGTTAGAATGATAATAAGCTGTGATAATTGCACGCATCACACGCACGGTATTGACTACAGTGTGTTGATCAAAAGCAATATTGATAAAATTCTCCATCTTCTCAACCAGCCTTTCTTCAGCATAAACATTTATAAGCAAAACATTCAGCCATGCTCTGTATTCATCCTTGGGAATCAGCCTGATCAATTCATCAATTCTTCTAACTCGATTTGCAGAAGGACATTTACAATATGCGCATATCATGGTTCTTATTACAGACAGATCATCCTTAACCAAATGTTGTTCCCCCAGTTCATACATCTCTTCCATTTTCTCTAAATTGCCAGAATGTGCATACCCTCTTAGCATTAACATGTACGTGTTATTATCTGGATTAATGTTCCTAGTTTTCATCATACTATAGGAGGTCTCCATCTGATCCCACATCCAAGCTGTTACGTATCCAGCAATCAGATTATTATATGTACCCACATTAGGGGAGAGGCCTGAGTCATATATTTCTTGAAGTGTAGCTTCCATATGATCTATCAACATCAAGCGACCAAAAACAGAAATAAGAATGTTGTATGTAACAATTGTAGGACTACAAAATTCTTCCATCTTGAACTCCCGAAAAAGTGAATGACATTTATCTGGCAAACCATTAGTCATATAAACACTCATCAATGCGTTATAAATAGTAGATGTCTTAACACCGTTGTTTGTAGCTTCGTTGTATAGCTCCACAGCAAGTTCGACATTCCTAGCTCTACCAGCAACCATAATACCCTTAGCATACTCTTCACTAGTAATTGGAAAGCTTAAGCCAGCATGTTTTCTCCTCCAATTAAAAACCTATAATCAAAAATTAAAACCACCAAGCCACTAAGCAAAGCCAACATCCTTTAACACGAGAAACAGAATTTTATCACAAATGTGCACCTGACATGCTTTAAATCTACAGCTTTTAGAAATAATACTTTCCTTCGTTATCTAAATATTTCAAGTTTAAAAAGTTACACTATTCACACAATCCCTTTTGATAATCTATTGTGATTTACACACAAATAAAAAAAATCGTGTAGGTGCTTGTTAAATTCGTCCCAATATATACTTTTAAATAGTCAACATTCTACAATTCGTACTTATAGAACCAAAGACTTTAATGTTATAAGTTTTGCACGAAAAAGCATGAAACACTACGTGCTGCAATATAGGACGGAGGAAGTACAACTAGATTTTAAGTGAAGTATAGCTTTTCTTATTAATATTGGATCCTAAAACCACACCATTGCTAAATGATACAGAAAAATCTTCCCCGAACATATCATTTCTTTTTCTTAAATCTCCAGATTATCATAATTAAGCATTAACATGAGAATTCAAACTTAGATTCAGAGGAAAAAAAAAATAAAAAATAATTAATGAGTTCCTGGTATAATGCACCATCAGAAACATACATCATGTCAATTATAATATGAAGTAAGTTCAAGTAAACACACAATTAGTTCTAATATGTCTTAATACCTGTAAATCCTAAAACCACTCTAATTTTCAGGTCTACTAATTTTCTAGTTTAGATACTTCCATTATCACCACACCATTAACAAAACTGTTAATTTGTGACTCGAAAACACAATTACGCTCTCATTTCCTAACAAAAACAATCAAATCACCGACTGGCCAATTCGATGAAAACTCGATAAATCATTTCTGTTTATACTACCTCCTCATACCAAAGCAGCACAATTAGACACAAAACATGAATCTTGGTAAGATGCTCCCTAAGAAATCTAGGGTCTCAAACATAAACAAATTCAATTCTCTAGCAAAAAAAATACATTAAACCAAACAATTAACAAGCAAATTAACATAGAAAAACCTAGAAATTAATTAAAATTAAAGAAGACCCACCTGAAGAGCTAAATAGGGAAAATCACGAAGTTGACCCAAAAGCTCAACCAAAGCAGAGCCATCATAGTAAGAAGAAAACAAAGGAAGACCCATTTGTTCCAGCAATTCATTAGTAGTTCCAGAATCATCCTTAGCCTTAACCAACTCATCTCTTAAGCTTGAAACTTTGTGGGCTAATATAACTTTGGCAGTCGAGATATGGCGATCGGATGAAGTGAATAACCAGGATTGAAGCACGCCGCCGGTTCCGGTTGATGCAGATGGCGTCGAAGACGAAGACGAAGACGAAGACGAAGATGAAGAGGAATAAGAATGGTAAATTGATGGGGTGGAATTAGACGGGGAGAAGAGAGAAAGTGAGGGAGAAGTGGATGGTGGTGGGGGGAAGATTTTGTGACGGTAATGGCGGAGGAGGAGCCGCCATTGAAGCCTCATTGCTAACCAAAAAATTAATCTGGACAAATTGGTGTAAGAGTAATGCACTAAGCCACTAATGCCTATTGTATGATTTGTAATTTTGTATATATGGCCCTCAATTTTAACATAGGGGTCGTTTGGTTGGATCACTTGGAATGGGTTGGAACGGAGTTAGAATCCATTTCATCTGATTTTTTGTTTGGTTGAAGTTTTTAACAATGGAATCTTATATCTAAGGGGTTCTAATTCCGTCCCATACCCACCCCTCCCTCCCTAAGATTCACAATCCATTTGATTAGGGGTCGTTTAATTCACTAAGTTGGAATGGATTGATATGGATTCTCATATTTGGGTGGTAAAGATTCTATATCTCATACCAATCTAAAGTTATTTGGTTTAATTATGGAATGGATTCTCATACTTGATTAATAGTATGGATTATGAATCTTTAGGGGGGAGGTGGGTATGAGATTCCAAGGGAATGATGTGGAGTTAAAATCCCCCAAATATGAGATTTCATACTTAAATAGCCCAACCAAACAAATAAAACCACGGAATGGATTCTAAATCCATTCCGATCCATTCCAAGAAGTTCAACCAAACAACCCCTTAATGAATGATAGAATCCATTCCCACAACAAAACCAAACAACTTTGAACTAGTATGGGTTTTAGAATCCATACCTCTCTAGTATGAGATTGCATACACATCCATTCCAACTTGATGAACCAAACACACCCTTAACTCATCATATTCCATTAAAAGTTTTCAAATTCACCATATACCACTAGAGCTGTTAAAAGCTGACCTGATCCGAAATACTGACCCGAACCCAATTATTAAACGACCTGTTTGAACCCGGAAAAATGGTGACCTGAACCTAATATGACCCGACTTGAAACCAACCCTAGACCCGAGTTAACCCGAGTAATTGAGACCCGAACTCGAACATAAACCGACCTTGAGATGACCCGACCTGAACCGAACCCGACCTAAATCGAGATTGACCCAAACTCATGTTAACCCGTCAAAACCCGAAATTAACCCGACCTATTACTAACCCTACACGAATTTAACTCGACTTGTTATTAAACCGACTCGAATTTAACCCGATATGTTACTAACCCGACTCGAATTTTACCAGACCTATTACTAACCCGACCCGAAATTCAACCCAATCTATTATTAAGCCGACCCAAAATTAACACGACTTGTTATTGACTGAAAAGAATGGTGTCCTTCTAACAAGTGTATTTTTCTCATAGAGGGTTCGGAATTATTAGAAAGCTAATTCTTCAGTGAGGTCAAGTGATCGAAATTCCTAGGTGGGGCCGCTTCCGATCTGTGATATTAATGTGTAATTAATATTGCAGCTTAATCTTAACTGAACCTTTCGGATCGCACCCCAATCGAATAACCGATCTGAGACGACGAATCAATTCGAAGGATTAGATGAGTCATTAAAGTATTACGAACAAAGACGTCAGATATCGAGTTAGAGCGTCGAAATCGAGTGTCATAAGTCAAGTCGAATTTAGAATTTGACGAGACGTAGAATCAAGCAAGCGACAAGTTCGAGCCAAGCCGTAGCATCGCATTGCCCTAGCCATGCCAGTGCTAGGCTAAGCGGCGAGACCACGAACCGCATGCATGCTTGCGTGCAAAGCATCGCCCAGCACTCGCACATCGCACAGCACGAGCATCGCAAGCTGTATGCCATGCGTGTGTGTGCTGTGGCTATGCGTGCATGGTTGTGCGTGCTTGCTACAACACCAGCCATCGCAGCATCGCAAGTTATGCGTGCGTATGCGTGCTTGCTAGCGTAGTAGCACCAAGCAACAGCAGTGATCGGCGGACAATAGGTCGTTAGTTTACTATCTTAGGTCAAAATTACAATTTATATCTCCTATCCTAACTCTATCAAAATTCCTTTAGATAGTGGTAAGGTAGGGTCGATTCCCAAGGAAACGGGGATTTAGCATAATTAAATTGATGTATAGGATAAATTGCTAGTAACAAAGAGGGTGTTGAGATATAGTTGTGAGAAATGCTATAGTCAAACTATCAACTAATGAGTCTAACCACTACTAGAAAATCCGTCTTTTTGAGACGCTTTAAAAGCGTTTTTTTCGTCACTAAAAAACGTCGAGAAATTAGTGTCACAAAAAAGCGTCGCAAATCTCGACGCTTTAATTTGTTCAAATTTTTATACAAAGCGTCGAAAGTTGCAGGAGTTGGCGCACTTTATCAATTTTAGCGGCGCTTTTTTGTGTCTAGAATCTTAAAATTAGAGACGCTGTTTCGTGTCCATATTTCATATATTTGATGTTCAGTAATATGACGACGCTTTTTTCAGTCTATATTTTTGTTGGAAATGCTTTTTCTTATCCATATTCTCTATAAAATATCTAGAATATATTTACCAAAAAAAAAATTTCACACTGAAACTAGTATTACCATTATATACACAGCAAAATTAGGCCAATTTTTTTATTACATAATATAAATATTATAGTACATGTATAATTTCTCGTAGTAATGAGTTCTCTATTACAAAGGATATGATTCCAACTTATACTTCATTCGTGACTAGTTGTAGTGGAACAAATCAGCTAATTTCATCACAAAAAACTTCTATCAATCTCTAGTTTAGCTGCTCCTTAGTCTGCTTGCAAGGGGGCATAAAGCAAAGCTCACATTGTGACCAATCATTGTTGGCCTTGAAGTCACAACACACCCTTTGATGTTTCTGGATCATTGGCAGGAACTAGTGGTTTAGTGTGGCCTGGGATGACAAAAGCATATAAACTGTTTGAAGAATCAAAATCACAACTGCATGAAAACTGCAATGAGCAAATGCAAAAGATACATTTCTTTTTAATGGAGAGAGGGAAGCTAGAGGGATAAGAAAGAGAAAATTGTAGTTTCACACCTGAAACTTCAGTAGGGCCAGACACTCATCCAAGTTTGAGTTAACAAAGATTTTGATAAACCTATATAAAGAAGACAGAAAACCGCACAGCTCAATAGAAAACGGTAGTTAAAATATAATAAATATCACTAGCTTGAGAGCAATCATAGGGGGGATGTTGCACTTAAACCTCTCTTACATGGAAAATCAATTCAAGGCATATTATTTATTTCTTACTTGAACATGTCATATATACTTATAATGGACATGGGATTGCATCAACCAAATCAGCAGCCACCTTGCTCTTTTGACATCTTGCTAAAATAATTTCCTCTTACGCTTTACACCTCTTGCTGATAAATTGCCTTAGTGTATGTAACGAATCCTTCCCCTGTTAAGTCACTTCATATTCTGTAAAGCACCAAAATCAAGCATTTCAATGCAAGAACACAACCATAGTTCTTTAATTAATAAATATATAATTAACTAGAGGAAAAATATACTAAAACAAATAAGAAAAGCCAGAGTATTCATTTCAGCAAGCCCACCCAACTCAACAAAACAACCCACACAATCCAAGTAAAAATAACAGTCCGCTGCGATAGAATCAAGTCAGCAGACCACAGAATTTCCAGAAGGCATAACTCCTAGCACAAAATTCCAAATTGAGAAATTCTTGAGCCTAGATTGGATAACTTTTTGAGATCAATAACTTTTATGAAGGGACCCACCACGACTAGCAGCAACCTACGTATGAATTCAATTTTTACCTTGCGGGACCGATAAACAAACCTCAAGCAGTGGCAGCCCACAGAGTAGTGACAATAATAACTCAAGAATAATTGTAGAGAACACCCATCATTCTACAATGAATATAAGAACGAGTATGAGAGCACAATAGCACACACTCTAAATATGCCAGAGCTGAAATTTGAATAGGAAGATAAAAATATAAAAGAATACTAAAATGTAGTTGAGAACTATATAATCAAAAGTATATATAATTCATTGTCGCACCCCACTAAACACCATACACCGAAAATGGGTGCAGTGTTTAGCACTCAAGAGACTATTAAAGTGCAAGTTGATGTGAATTTTTATCCATTTGATAGCAGCTTATTTGATCAACTTATTGATAACAGCTAGTTGCCATTGTAAAAGATACTAAAAGCCAGCAAGCATAGGAAAAGTCATATTTTTTTTCATTATGAACATAATTTTGTAGGGGGTTTAAAACTTTCTTTTCTTGTAAATACACAAAACTGACATGTATTCTGTAAAGTGGTAAAAAACTTACATGTATCTTGTAGTGTGGTACAGCCAATGACTACACCTTAAGCTTCTCAAAGCTATTTCTTTTGATGGATGAATGTTTGGCCACATATCCATGTCAAGATCATAGACCATAATGTGAGAGGCCACCTGAGCCAGAGATACCATTTACAAAAGAGAAAAAGATCAAAGAATGTTGACTTTTACCTAAAAAATCGTAATACATACGGAATCAAAAACAATTAAACAAAGTAAAAACAATTTATCGTAAAGAGGCTATCAAACAAGTCTAAACTCATCATAATCGTGCTTCAAACGTAGAACAAAAAGCTAAATTTTCAGAATTGACATAAAATAGAAGCACAAAAAACATAATAATACTTTGTATACATGAAAAAACCTTGAAATATCTACTGTCTATGAATCAAATATCTAAACAATACAGACAAAGCAAGTACTAACAGGAAGGTAAATTCATTAGGATTATTGTAATAAATAATTTCACGCAACCACTAATAGTGGGAGACAGACAAAAGAAGCCAAGTACAGAGGTCTCCCAAACTAATGTGACTCTATTATAAGGTTACAGAAGCTAGCAGCACAAGCAAACTTTCTAGAATAAGCACAACAAAAACAATCTTGTTCTCCCATTTTTTTTATACTCCATAATAAAGATATATAGCCAGTTAACAATAGAAAGTAAGTTGTCTTAGAAAAAAGAAAAAAATAATTGACATGGTAAAAAAGAAAAATTTAATAAATACATCATCCATGTTTAAGGGTAGAGAAAACCAAATAGACTATTCCTAAGCAATTAATAGTAGTAGTCATATTCAGACATGCTAAGAAAATAAATATAAATATGCAATCCAAATCTTGTATCTAGAAACTTAGCTTGA